CATCAAACATTAAAAACTTCCTGATACAGGGCTGCCTTCAGATATCTTCTAAAAGTCTGGTGGTTGTTTATCTCTTTGACATCTGATGGGATGGTGCTCCACAGGGCGGGCACCACTACCAAGAAGGCCCTCTGCCTGGTTCCCTGTAACCTCACTTCTTGCAGTGAGGGAACCGCCAGAAGGCCCTCAGCGCTGGACCTCAGTGATGGAGGTGAATACGCTCCTTCAGGTATACTGGGCCAAGGCTGTTTAGGGCTTTAAAGGTCAGCACCAACACTTTGAATTGTGCTCAGAAACGTACTGGGAGCCAGTGAATATCCTTTAGGTCCGGTGTTATATGGTCCCGATGGCCACTTCCTGTCACCTGTCTAGCTACCACATTCTAGATTAGTTGTAGTTTCCGGGTCACCTTCAAAAATAGCCACATGTAGAATGCATGGCAGCAGTCCAAGCGGGAGATAACCAGAGCATGTACCACTCTGGCGAGACAGTCTGCAGGCAGGTAGGGTCTCAGCCTGCGTACTAGAGGGAGCAGGTAGACAGCTGCCCTCGACTCAGAATTGACCTGCGCCTCCATGGACAGCTGTGCATCCAAAATGACCACCGGCTGTGAATCTGGTCCTTCAGGGGCACAGTTGCCCCATTCAGGACCAGGGAGACCCTCACCCCTGCCTACTCCCTGTCTCCCAGAAACAGCACTTCGGTTTTGTCAGGATTCAACCTCAATCCATTGGCTGCCATCCATCCTCCAACCGCCTCCAGACACTCACACAGGACATTCATCGCCTTCACAGGCTTAAATTTAACCGATAGATAGAGCTGGGTATCATTTGCATATTGTTGAACACCCAGCCCAACGCCACTGATCATCTCTCCCAGCAATGAACATGTGAAGCTGTCTCATGCTGAATCAGACCTATGGCTCATCTAAGCCCTGTGTTATTCTCACTAGCAGCACATCTTGAAGGTCTCGGACTTTTTTGTCTCTACCATCCAACTTTCTTTTTAACTGGAGATTCTGAACCTGGGAACCTGTGCCTCCAAAACAGGAGTGGAGACCCTGTAGCCCTCCAGATGTTGTTGGATTCCAGTACCCATCAACCCCAACCATCATGGCCAATGGCCAGGAATTATGGGAGCTGTAGTTCAACACCTGAAGGACCACAGGATTCCCATTACTGCTCTAAATACCACCACTCTCCTGAACACTTCCAAGTCATACCAATGCCATTTTAGAAGTTTTGTCCGACTTCTCGTCCTCTCTCTTTATCTTCTCTTTTCTTTTTAAAAAATGTTCTTCTAAGGGTCTGCCATCTCATATTGCTCCCCTGGAGTTCCTAATTAAGAACCGCAGCCTCTTGCAATTTTACAGAAGGTCCTCCCTTCTTTTTCAGACATTTACTTAATGTTCCAGCTGCTGAAACTGTGAAAGTTTTATAGCAAGCGCGGCTCTAGAGAAAAGTTGTTGATGGCATAGCTGCAGTGTGTGCCATTAAAATCTAGGCGGCTTAAACCAACGCCATCATTGTTTTATTGCTTCTGAGTTTCTAGCCAAATGCCTAGTCCCACGTACATAAATGCTTTACTTTTTAAAAGATAAAACCTTATCAATCCAAATCATTACCTTCTGACAGTTCAAGTCCACCTTTGCATGACAGCAGCTCCTACAGAGCAATTCTAATTACGTATTCAAATTCCTGGTTATCCATAAATTTTGGAGAACCCGTCCTTCTCACCCCCACGATATTCAGAAAAACTAGGTAGAACTTTCATCTGGTGTAGATCAGTAGTAGAACATCTGTTTTGCATGGAGACGGTCTAGAATGAACCAATCATCTGACTCGGTATAAGGCAGCTTCCACGGTTAAATCATTTAATTTGAGTAATTGACCCAATATGTGGCCATGGCTGCTGGCTTAGGCAACTTTAAAAATGGAATCAAGACAAATTTGTGGCAGAAAAATTTATCTCTGGCTACTACCTAGCAGTTCGAAAACACATCAAAGTGCAAGTAGATAAATAGGTACCACTCTGGCGGGAAGGTAAACGGCGTTTCTGTGCGCTGCTCTGGTTCGCCAGAAGCGGCTTAGTCATGCTGGCCACATGACCCGGAAGCTGTACGCCGGCTTCCTCAGCCAGTAAAGCAAGATGAGCGCCGCAACCCCAGAGTCGGCCACGACTGGACCTAATGGTCAGGGGTCCCTTTACCTTTACTACTAGTCATGGTGGCAGCAGAGGCAGACTTAGGGGAGTGCAACCGGTTTTCCCATACTGGGAGCTGAGCCGAGAGGGTGCTGCAACAATCACTTCGAACGGAAGATGCTAAATTTTGGCATCACGTAAAGCGTAGCTGAAACTTGAAGGCCCAAAGCCGGCCACTGGGGGCAAGTTCTGAGGCAGCATGCTGGAGAAGATAGCATGCAAGCTATTGCTGTCATGTCCTGCTTATGGGATTCCACAAGGCACCTGCTTGGCCGCTGTGGGAAATGGGGTCTTTTTCACCTAGTGCATAGTTACAACTGTGGAACTCACTCCTGCAGGAGGCAGCAATAGCCACCAACCTGGACGGCTTTAAAAGAGGATGGGATAAATTTATGGAGGTGACTACTAGCCATGGTGGAAGCTATGCTCTACTCTACATGCAGAAGCTACCTCTACAGAATGCTTCTGTATGCCAGTTACTGGAAACCGCAAGAACCGAGAATGATCTTCTGCTCCATTTCTGCTTGTGGGTTCCACCAGACATCTGGTTGGCCACTGGGGGAACTGATGCTGGACCACATGAGCCACTGGCCTGATCCAGCAGCCTCTTTGCATGTTATCCTCAGTGACCTGATCCAGGAGTGTTTCATTTTATGTTCTTATGAATTGTATATGGTGCCATACGGGTGGCGCTGTGGGTAAAAGCCTCAGCGCCTAGGACTTGCCGATCGCATGGTCGGCGGTTCGAATCCCCGCGGCGGGGTGCGCTCCCGTTGTTCGGTCCCAGCGCCTGCCAACCTAGCAGTTCGAAAGCACCCCCGGGTGCAAGTAGATAAATAGGGACCGCTTACTAGCGGGAAGGTAAACGGCGTTTCCGTGTGCTGCGCTGGCTCGCCAGAGCAGCGATGTCACGCTGGCCACGTGACCTGGAAGTGTCTCCGGACAGCGCTGGCTCCCGGCCTCTAGAGTGAGATGAGTGCACAATCCTAGAGTCTGTCAAGACTGGCCCGTACGGGCAGGGGTACCTTTACCTTTTTATGGTGCCACACAGTGATGTGGATATACAGAAATGATGTACAGAAATACGAAAGAGGGTCATCACAGACTGCATAACTGATTTCTAAACATATTTTGGCCAGACTCTTTTGGGGCCTAGAGACATTTTTGATCAGAACATCTACATTCAAAGCATGAAGGCACAATATCAAGTTACTTTACTGGTTCGATACCACAGAAGATGGGCTGGATTAAGGAGGCTGTTATCTTAACCACGTCTACTATGAAGGAGTTCCCAGGTAAATGGGTTAGGATTGCAGCCTTAGTCATGCTGAAAATGGAGTCGGGTTTGGTGAGATCTGGTTTTCAATATTGTGATATATCACCAGCTTAAACGTCACGATATACTGATATATCATGATGTATGAAATAAGGATGGACCTATGTACAGTGGTACCTCAGGTTAAGAACTTAGAACTTGGATATGACAGGAAAAATTAAAGTTTTTGTTCTAAGGACTGCCTTCAGACTTGATCTCACACCAATTCCTATGTATAGTGGTACCTTGGGTTAAGTACTTAATTCGTTCCGGAGGTCCGTTCTTAACCTGAAACTGTTCTTAACCTGAAGCACCACTTTAGCTAATGGGGCCTCCCACTGTTGCCACCGCTGCGCCATTTCTGTTATTATCCTGAAGCAAAGTTCTTAAAAGTACTATTTCTGGGTTAGCGGAGTCTGTAACCTGAAGTGTCTGTAACCCGAGGTACCACGGTACTGTAGAGGCATTGACCAGCTTCACGGGTTCTCCTGCATCATGATTTCTTGCATACCACACACACATATGATTCACAATATATTACCAGGTCAAAAATTATGAAACCAGTATCACAACATGGACTTCAAACCAGTTTTGGATGATATATTGATATATCGCCCAGCCCCAGAATGGAGAACTGAAATGAATAGGACTTGACCTTAAGTCCCATGAGGATGTCTACTTTTAAGTAGAGCAAAGTCTGCATCCAGCCCATTACGGCTAAAATAATGCAAACCAGCAAACACTAGCAAACTGGCAACAGTACTATTCCTCATATTTGATCTGGATGCAAAAGCTGTAGTTTGGGATCTCTTCTTGTTGTTTTCCTTCTCCTGCACAGACAAATTTGAAACAGAGGGAGAAACCTCCTCTCTCTGCTGTGCTCCAAAACTATTCAGTCATTCCTTGCAAATGTTTTGACTCAAAGGAATGATTTCAGGATGGGAAGCAATTTGTCCCTGGGGCCATAATAAACACAATCAGACAAAATGCCTTCCCATAACATTAGATGATGCCATTATTCTCCAATCAGAGCCAGAGGCTCATGTTGCCTGTCCACCAATGAGAAGCAAGGCAGAACTCAAAAGAGGACCCAGCCATTTGGAACTAAAAATAAAGTATCTCACAAGGCTGGTTGTTTTTCCCTGGGTGATAGGAGTTGGGATCACGAAATCGGCTGCTTGCAATTATTGATTTTTAAAATAATAGTATTTTAAAATACTGGGGGCGGGTGGGTGGGAAGGGCGATCCATTCTCCAAAGATCTGCGACAAGGCAGTAAATGAGGCAATTATTATAAGCTGCTGTATTGAGACACCTCAACATAAACGGCAGTCCTTGAATAATTCAGCGTGTGCAAGTAAGCATGAACAGAGCTCAAGCTTTGGAAAACACCATATGCTGATCACTTTTTATTTCCCCCCTTTTAAAAAGCAAGCCGCCCTGTTGCTTTGAAGCTGCTGGGTCAGGGGGGGGAAAGCCCTTACCTGTCCTGCAGTGTCATACAGCCCCAGAAGATACTGTTTGCCACCGACTGTCACACTGACTGCAAAGAGAGAAAGAGAATATCAGGCAGGGGCCCTAGAGCAACACACAAAACCACACTCTCTCTCAAGCTCTCTCTTTCCTCTCTAGACCAAGGAGCAAACAAGTGGATTCAATTTCTCTCCCAAACTCAAAAATTAAAAAAAAAAAAAGCACAGGCATCTCAAATGGGTAGGCCACCTCTTAAAAATAGCAATGATCCCTGTCTCTGCCCAGATATACACTTTCGAAGCACTTTTGTGATGGAGCAAAACAGAACTAGACTCCCCATTAACAGGCTGCAGCCTACAAAAAGGTGTCCTCGGTTGTGTGTGTGTGTGTGTGTGTACACACATCATGTGCTCATAACAGGACTTCAAAGGCTAGTGAGATGGTATTGGGTCGTCCCCCCCATTTAACCTCTGTCCCATTTGCTCCCCAACTTTCAGTTGCAGTCTATCAAGGTCCTATCAGGCATGGATTAAATCCTTGCTCCCGTCATAACGGCAATTCGCCACACTATTCCGCCCCCACCAATTAAATACTATATATTTATGGTCCAGTCCCTTTACCTTTACCCATATATATAAAATGCGACATTTTTGGAGTGGTCAGGCATCTGCAGTCCCAAACCGTCCTTCCCCCTTTCCCCTTGTTCCACAACCAGACCCCTCCAATTGAGGGGGGGGGGAGAGAAGAGGAGTGCACTTTAGAGGAGTCATTTTGAGCTGCTTTCCTTTTGCAAAAAAGGGGGTCGTCGGGGATCCCCGGGACTGCAAACACGAGTCGTCCCCCCTCCCAAAGAAATAAAAATAAACGCAGCCTCTGCTTTACAAGAAGGCAGGAGAAAAAAGGGGGGGAAGGGAGGGAGGGGGGATAGGAGAGCAGAATTAGGGAAAGGGAAAAGTTTTTGCTGAAGTTTCTAGGCTCTGTTGCTGCTGCTTCTGGGGTGCTGGAAACTGGGGTGGGGGGTGGGAAGCGGAGAAGAGGGTGGCGGAGCTGGAGCGCCCTTACTCAGCACTTCCCGGCGAGACGCGCGTTTACCTGCGTAATGGTCAAAGACGGTGGGCACGTATTCCTCCGGGAAGGCGTCGTTGGCGTAGCTCATCAGCAGGCAGGTTTTGCCCACCGCCCCGTCGCCCACCACCACGCATTTCAGCATGACCGTCGCCGCCCCCGTCCCGTTGGCCATGATGATGAGAAGGAGCTTCCCAAACCGATCGTCATTTTAGGAAGGAGGGGGAACGCTCGGCGAGGCAAAAAAAGAGACTCCCCCTTTCCAATAATAATAATAATAAGGATAAAAGTGCGTTGAGCGGGGCGAAGAACGACGCCGTCGAGGCGCGAAGATCACAGGGCGCCGCGCAACGAAGGGCGCAGGAGACGACCCCCGGGGGGGCGCATCGGTGCCAGGCGAGGGGAGCGAGCGGTGGGCGAAGCGGGCGGCTTGGCTGGCAGCCGGGGAGCAGCTCAGCCACAAATCACGGGCGCTGGCATTTCTTCTCGGCTCGCCCTCCTCCCTCCTTCCCTGCGCCGCCTCGCCGTCGCCCTCCCCGCCGGTGCCAAACTTGGCTGGCAGGGATTTTCCTCCTCCGGCGGGCACGATGACCGAGTGTCTCCGGCGGCGGCGGCTGCCCGGCGGAAAGAGGAACTACTTGGGCGCCCTGCGCGCACAATCCGCACCGCGGCGCCGGGTCTCCGCGGCGCTGCGCCCCGATGGCGAGGGCGAGGGGGGCTTCCCTGGCGCCGCGTAAAACAAAAAAACGCGCGGCGGCGAAACAACAGCCGAGCCGCCCTCCTCCTCCCCCTTCGGCGGAGGGAAGGCCCGCTCTCCCCTTTTCCCGGAGAGAGGAACTGCGCTGAGCCCACTTTGACTTTCCGGAGCGGCCGGATCTTTACGCACACACTCCTCCCTCCCCGCCCCGGGCTGCAAACGCCACTTCTCCGAAAAATAAATAAATAAAGGGCAAATGAACGAGCCCGCCCGCCCGCCGTCCTATTGCTGCTGCTGCTGCTGCCGCCGCCACCTCCGACTAGCTGGAGCGGAGAAAGGAGGAGCGATGCCGAATCGCTGCCGGAGAGCGGCTGAGGGTTCCTCTCCAAAGAGCCGACAGCGCCGAGAAGCGTCCACAGTTTTCCCTCCCCCCCCCTTTTTTTTTTTTGCAACGCGCTTTCCCCGGCGATGATGTAATCGATAAATCCTCGGAACTTCCACGCAGCCTCCCCCAACCGGGCGCCCTCGTCCAGATGCTTTGGCACTACAACTCCCAGCAGCCTCGGCCAGATGTGGGAAGCAGCTGGAGGACACTAAGTTAAGGCTGCCGCAATCTGTTCCGGTTTTTGGCTGTGTTGTGTCTCTTCCACTTTTTTATTATTATGATTATTATTTTTTTACGCTGGCCGTTAAGGAAACATTTTAGAGTTTGGGAGGATAAGGATTTTTTGGTACTGCTGGTCCCCCCCCCTTTGGGCAGGTGTAGTATAAAAAAGGAATATATTTGGAAACATTATTATTATTATTATTATTATTATTATTATTATTAAAAACCCTCTTAAAAGTAAGTGGGAGAAGGCTGTCAAGTGTAGTGTAGGACTAGAAAATCAAAATGTTAAACTGCCCCTCACTTTTCTTAAGTTAAGCTTTTCAGGCTTACTTATTTTATTTTGTTTATTTATTTTCTATACCGTCCTTCATCCAAAGATCACAGGGCACTTTACAATATGAAAACACAAAAATACATACCGTAATGATAAATGAAAACAATAACCCTCCCCGCACAGTATAATTATTTATAATACTAGAATTAATAACTACACACAAGCAACACACCTTGGCTGGTCTGACAAGTAGGTACAAATTGGTCAAAGCAATGATTCTTCAACATCAACTTTGTTGAACTGGTCATGTTGTGCGGATGCCTGATGATCGTCTTCCAAAGCAACTACTCTATTCCGAACTTAAAAATGGTAAGTGTAATGCTGGTGGTCAACAAAAGAGGTTCAAAGACTCTCTCAAAGCAAGTCTTAAAAAATGTAGTATAAACATTGACAACTGGGAAACACTGGCCTGCAAGTGCTCCAATCGGAGAACAGCCTTTACCAAAGGTGTCATGAGTTTTGAAGATGCTCAAACTCAGGACGAAAGGGAGAAATGCGCTAAGAGGAAGGCACCTTTGGCAGACTCTCACCATGATCAACTCCCACCTGGAAATCTATGTCCCCATTGTGGAAGCACGTTTGGATCCAGATTTGGGCTCCACAGTCACTTACAGACTCACTTCTAAAACTTACAGACTCACTTTTAAAACCGTGTTTATGGAAGACAATCTTACTTGGCTACTAGCCAAAGAAGAAGAAGAAGAATCCCATTTTATCCTCACAATGGCCCTAGAAGGTAGATTGGGTTCAAAAAATGTCACTGGGCCAAGGTCGCTCAGTTGGCTTCACAGCTGAGTAGGAGGATATGAAACCAGGCCTCTCCTCTCCAGTCCATGCCCAGCTCTGTCCACTGTGCTACTGTGATTATCTGTGGCTATCCTGCCTTAGCAGCCTTCACAGGTGATGCATTCCAGGCTAAAAGACATTCGTGCGTCTGCCAATAGAGCTCCACCCTCAAAACATTTCTTTAGCATTTAAGTTCCAGCCCAATCCACATGATGTTTCATCACAGAAGTATTGGGAACAACCTTAGTCTAAGTACTAAAATAGCTCTGGCGGTGCATCCAATACGATCTCTTCACAAATGTTTCCCAGATCACTTTTAAACCAACTGTGCGTTTCCCTTCCCAAGGAATGGGAGCTGGCGGATTAGAGACCATCATCAATCTCTCTGCTAATTGTGTGTTTGAGTTGCTCCTGGAACTTTTCTTCCTTAGTCTGCAAGTTCTTTCCCCTATGGATTGCACAAAAAGAAAACAATCCGTCATGGGAACAAAACACACCAGTTTGCTAATTTTAAATTTAAGGAGGTGTTTCAGATAAAACTTTGCTCCCCTGCACCTCTACGCACACACCACACAATTTCTTGCATTTGGACTGGCAATTTCTATGTAGCTATTGGGCCCTTCCTACCACAAACATTGGTAGTCAATGCTAGTCCTAACATTTAAGCTAACAGATATGACTAAGTTAGGTTGATTTATTTCATTGGTTCTATTCTGAGTAGGAATTGGCTGACTACAACCCAGACTTCAATTGTTTTCTGTTACCATTTTGGTTTGTTCTATTCAGTGACCGTTGTAATTTTGCTGCCTTGTAATCCTGCTGTCTTCTCCACATCCTCTTCCTTCGTTTCTGAGGTGGCCGCTTACTCGTCTCCAAAAATATGGAAAACCCATCACTAAAAAGAATGATAAGAAGACACAAGAGCTGCATTAAATGTACAAATTCTAATGCATAGATTATGGTGCATGGGCTTGGACTGTGATCAAACAACTGCAGTAAGATTCTCTTAAATGGTGCTGATCAGTGCCTCTTCCAAAGTGAATCTGGAATTAGGGATGGGGAGCTGAACCCAACCATTGGCATCTTTCTTCTTTACACAAAAGCAGACGATCCATGTAACGGAAATAACTGGACACAATCCCAGCTCTGGGATCTGATTCCCTGCCCCCTATGGAAAACTTGAGTGCAGCATTCATTTGCACTCAACTCCCTTTCCTTGGGATCATGACCACTATGTTTAGAACTCAGGTGCCACACAAGCTAATCTATTATTATGATGATTATTAAAGATTTTATTGGTTTACAAAAGTATGAGCAATGTCTCTCTCTTTTTCCCCCCACATAACATTTTTACAGATCAGTTTCATTTGCTGACATTAGTGTTATATTAGGAAGAAAAGGGGGAAAGAGGTGGAGGGGGAAAAAGGTGAGTGGGGGTGGGGCTCAGGTGGCAATGTTTCTGTTTTACTTAATATACGTGTGGGGTTTCATGTCAGAATCGCTTGTGCATGTTCTCTGCTATTCGCTTGTGTTCCTTTGGTGGTGAGAGAGGTTGGGGTTGGCCTAGGGCAGCCTTTCTCAACCTGTGGGTCCCCAGATGTTGTTGAACTACAACTCCCATCACCCCTAGCTAGCAAGGCCAGAGCTCAGAGATGATGGGAGCTGTAGTCCAACAACATCTGGGGACCCACAGTTGAGAACCGCTGGCCTAGGGTGTGGTTGTTCATTTGTGATTGGCTGTGGTGAGCATTCACTCATGAAAACAAGCTAATCTTTGAAAGAAAACTACAGTGGTACCTCGCAAGACGAATGCCTCGCAAGACGAAAAACTCGCAAGACGAAAGGGTTTTTTGTTTTTTGAGTTGCTTCGCAAGACGAATTTCCCTATGGGCTTGCTTCGCAAGACGGAAACGTCTTGCAAGTTTGTTTCCTTTTTCTTAAAACCGTTAATACAGTTGCGACTTGACTTCGAGGAGCAACTCATAGCACGCGGTGTGGTAGCCTTTTTTGAGGTTTTTGAAAACTTTGGTGATTTTTGAAGCTTTCCCAAAACTTCTTTTGAAACCGTGCTTCGCAAGACGAAAAAACTCGCGGAACGAATTAATTTCGTCTTGCGAGGCACCACTGTAGTACTATTACACTTAATATGCTTCCGAGATTGCTTGTTTAGGTAAACATAAAGGGACCCCTGACCATTAGGTCCAGTCATGACCGACTCTGGGGTTGCGGCGCTCATATCGCTTTATTGGCCGAGGGAGCCGGCGTACAGCTTCCGGGTCATGTGGGCAGCATGACTAAGCCGCTTCCGGCAAACCAGAACAGCGCACAGAAATGCCGTTTACCTTCCCGCCGGGGTGGTACCTATTTATCGACTTGCACTTTGAGGTGCTTTTGAACTGCTAGGTTGGCAGGAGCAGGGACCGAGCAACGGGAGCTCACCCCCTCGCGGGGATTCAAACATCCCTTGATTGTTTGTTTACCTCTTTTCTTTTTCTGCTTTTTGGCTATAACCTGCTTGGGTTATAATTGTCGTTGCTACTAATACACAATGTCTCCATCCAGGTAATCTTTTTTTTTTAAGGTTAACCAATGAAGATATTCTTTTGAGCTATCATGTATCATTTTGGGGTAGGAAGGCAGCATGGAATTAAAAGCTATGAAACTCCCGAATCGAGAGACTGTTTGCCGAAAACTCATCAGCACTGTGTATCCGTTCCAAAGCCAAACAGCCCTGATTAAAGCCTGTTCACAAATCACTTTAATATCCATGATTACTAACCATAAAATTGTACCAATGAATTAATCAGTGCTTTCAGTTATATTTATTAACTAGCAAAATGCCCCAAAGGCAGCAGCAGAGGATCTTGGCACCAGTATTACACAAGA